CTGAAGATTTGCCTTCACCGCCACCCCACCCCCAGCTGTAGATGTTTCTTTATAAGCCTTGCTTGTAAATAGGTGTCAGCAAGGGTCTCAGCATGCAGGATGTGGACATGTGGGCATTTGAGATCCCCCCACCGGCCGTCACCATCCTCCTGCTGCTGCCAGTGTGTCTCTTGAGGACGCCTGGCAGGTTACACCCCACCCTGGGGGCAAACAGTGGCTGACAACAGAACAAGCGCTCACTCCCCTGCCCCACAGCAGGACAGTTCAGTGGGAGGAATTTGCTGTAGAGCACCCTGGATCAGGCTGAGGCTTTCCCCTTCCATATTCGGCTTCCTTTGCTCCTCCAATAAGTCACACATGTGGAGCCCTAAGGAGCTAAAAGAAAATTGGAAATGAGCTTAGCTGACAAGAACAGACACAGGGTAGAGGGGAGCGGGTGTTCTGAAAAATAACGTCAACCGCAAAGGCTCACTAGCACCCAAGCTTCCTGTCACAAGCATTCAGCTCCCTGCCCACCTGCACCCAAGTTTCCTGTCTGCAAGCCCTCAGCCCAGGCAGCACGACCTTATAAACTCCCCTGCAGCCCTGCCGTTTTGCAGACAGCATTCCGTCTGCTGTGTTGCCTGCCCATTGCTCTCTTGCAACGCATCTCCCAATTTCTCTAATAAATCTACGTTTCTTTCCCGCAACTGTCTTGGTAAATTCCTTCACCATCTGTGACACTGCCCCTAGGCAGTCGGTTTTTTGTTTATTGTTTGTTTTGAGACAGTCTCCTCTGTCGCCCAGGCTGGAATGCAGTGGTGCCATCTCGGCTCTCTGCAACTCTGCCTCCCAGGTTCAAGCGATTCTCTTGCCTCCGCCTCCTGAATAAGTGGGGTTATAGGCGTCTGCCACTACGCCCCGCTAGTTTTTGTATTTTTAGTAGAGATGGAGTTTCATCCTGTTGGCCAGTCTGGTCTCAAACTCCTGACCTCAAGTGATCTGCCTACCTCGGCCTCCCAAAGTGCTGGGATTATAGGCGTGAGCCACCGCACCCAATCAGCTCCCAGGCAGTCATTGACCGTGACAACGAGCACCTGAGTCCCTGTTGCCAGCTCTGCATCTAAGAAACCCAGACATGAGAAAACTCCTTACAACACTGCAGTGGGCAAAGTGGTGTCTGTGGGCAGAAAAGGGACAGCACTGGGCTCAGTGGAGACCAGGCCAAAACACTCCCATGCTTCAAAGGTTAGGGATTTAAATCCTACCTGTCATAGTGGAATTTAAACAATCTTAACTTTTCAACAATAAGGAACAGACTCAATATATTATCAAACATGCTTATGATACCTATTATGCCATCATGAATGGTGCTGTATAAAATATGGAAAACGATATTTGTTGAAGCTCAAGGAATGGGTACATGGGGGTTCATTTTACGATTTTCTCTACCTTTGTATATATTTGAAATTTTCTGTAATAAAATGTATATTAAAAATGGATGGAGAAATTGCTGTAGAATATTGAATGATATTTAGAAATAACTCACACTATATAGTTAAGTGAAAAACCTGGCTAATTATAACCAGGTAAGTCTATATATATGTGGATTTTTAAAATATTAAGAAATTGAAAGCTGGGTGCTGTAGCTCACACCTGTAATCCCAGCAACTGGGGAGGCTGAATGAGAGGATGGCTTGAGCCCAGGAGTTCAAGGTTTCCGTGAGCCATGATTGCACCACTGTGCCTCAGCCTGGGTGACAGAGCAAGACCCCAAAGCTTAAAAAAAAGAAAAGAAATTGAAATGTACTTTCCCATTGACCCAGCAATTCCACTTCTAGATAGAGAAATCCACATGGGAAAGGAGATAGGTACAGCCTAAATGGTCGTCAATAAAAAAAAAAAAAAAGTGGCTTTTAAAACTACTGTATTGTCTGGACACGGTGGCTCACGCCTGTAATCTCAGCACTTTGGGAGGCTGAGGCAGGTGAATCACGAGGTCAGGAGTTTGAGACCAGCCTGGCCAACATGGTAAAACCCAGTCTTTACTAAAAACACACAAAAAAATTAGCTAGGCGTAGTGGCAGGCATCTGTAATCCCAGCTACTCAAGAGGCTGAGACAGGAGAATGGCTCGAACCAGGGAAGGGGAGGTTGCAGTAAGCTGAGATTGCACCACTGCACGCCAGCCCTGGCAACAGAGTGAGACTCTGTCTCAAACAAAACAAAACAAAATGAAAAACAAAATGTACTATGTTAAGCCAGGCTCAGTGGTGCATGCCTGTAGTCCCAGCTACTTGGGAGGCTGGCTCATGCCTGTAATCCCAGCACTTTGGGACCCAAGATGGGAAGATTGCTTGAGGCCAGGAGTTTGAGACCAGCCTGGGCAACACAGTGAGACCCCTGTCTCTACAAAATATAAAAATAAAAAATTAGCCAGATGTGGTGACTATTGCCTGTAGTCCCAGCTACTTGGGTAGCTGAGGTGGGAGGATCACTTGAGTCCAGAAGTTCTAGGCTGCAGCCAGTTATGATAGTGCCACTGCACTCCAGCCTGAGGATAGAGCAAGACCCTGTCTATAAAAAAAAGAAAGAAAATAAAGAAAAACAGGGGCTGGGCGTGGTGGCTCACACCTGTGATCCCAGCACCTTGGGAGGCCGAGGCGGGTGGATTGCTTGAGGTCAGGAGTTCGAGACCAGCCTGGCAAACATGGTGAAACCCACATCTATTAAAAATACAAAAATTAGCCCAGTGTGGTGGTGGACACCTCTAGTCCCAGCTATTCAGAAGGCTGAGGCAGGAGAATCCTAGGAGAATTGCTTGAACCTGAAAGGTGGAGGTTGCAGTGAGCCGAGATTTGGCCACTGCATTCCAGCCTGGGCAACGGAGCAAGACTGTCTCAAAAAAAAAAAAAAAAAAAAAAAAAAAAAAGAAAATCAAAAGTCTCTATATCTCTATGTATATAAAGAATAGTCCAGAGTGCTATTTATTACCCTGATGAAGTGTGACGAGGTGACGAGGGCTGAAGGGAAGGGACCAGGAGTGGGGCTGGCTGACTACTGAGATTTATCTGTCATGTTTTAATTTTTTACAAGAAGAATATATTTATCTATTATGCATAATTAAACATTAATAATGCCAAAGACTACATGGATATACACTGAAGTGCTAGCAAGGACCATCTCTGGGTGGTGAGAGTTTCTTAGTTCTTTTCTAGAATTTATGAATTTTCTACCGCAAGCGTATATGACTTAGGCAATCAAGGCAGGAAGGCAGAAGAAAAAAAAGAAACTAAAGTAACACTATTGTGCCAAGATACGCCCCCACTTTCACCTCCTGCTTGCATCCAGTTCATTCTCCGAGCTCAAGGTCTCCCCATGCAAGGTTTCCTGATCCCTAGCCCCTCCCTTCAAGAGGCTGCTCTTTCCTCAGCGCTCTCTGAGTCTTGGATAAGACCCCCATAGTGGACACAAACCCCACAGGCCCACACTGGATGGATGTGTAGGCTTCCGTGCCCAGGGCAGGCCCACCCTGCTGGCTTCTGACCTCTTGGCAGCATCCCTTAACACCACTCTCCACCCTGAGCCTGGCCCCTGAGCATCAATTATAGTTGGTGAAATTAACATTGTTCAGAGACCTTCAACAGAGAAGAGGAATCCTTTACATGTGCTTTTCCTTCCCAACTTGGGGAGGGGGTCCTTGTGCATCCTAGGGGTCTTCTGACCATTCCTCCCATCCCCAGCACTCCCAAGGGTGCATTGCCACCCCAGCTTCTTGTTCAGCTGTTCTTTCTCACTAAGCACCTACTGTGTGCCAGACATTGTTCTGGGCACGGAGATATAGCAAAATAAGTGAGCGGCTCACAGTGACATGCCCAGTAAATGGCAGAGACAGGACTTGACCTCAGACCTTCAGATGCCATGTCCGACAGCGACTCCAGAACCTCACATCCCAGAACTATCAAGGGTTAAATTCTTCTTTTGAGTAGAGCCACCGCAGCCATCATGGTTCATTTCTTGGCACCCATTCGCCAGTGTGGTTATTCTGAAGTTCAGGGCAATTACTTCACAATTGCCCTTTGCTGTAGGTTTTTTGTTTTGTTTTGTTTTTTTGTGATGGAGTCTTGCTCTTGCCCAGGCTGGAGTGCAGTGGCACCATCTCGGCTCGCTGCAATCTCCACCTCCCGGGTTCAAGTGATTCTCCTGCCTCAGCCTCCCGAGTAGCTGGGACTACAGGTGCACGCCACCACACCTGGCTAGCCCTTTGCTGTTCTTATTCCTTCCTTGACTGAATAAATCTTTAAGGTAACAAGAAGGGAAAACATATGGCAGATCTCCTCTGGGCCTATAAAACCAAGATGTGAGATTATTATATTGCTTCATGTGCTAAGTCAAACAGATCGAATATTTTAATGCGGAATTTTATAAAGCACATCTTTTTCTATGACTACATAATGACTTATAATTGCTTTCTGCAAATATTGGCCCTATTTCCAAAGACAGAGATCTTTAATGAAGTTTGCCCTGTCTGACTCTTGTTTTATTTTTGTTTTTTGTTTTTTTTGAGACAGAGTCTGGCCCTGTTGCCTAGGCTGGAGTGTAACGGCATGATCACTGTTCAATGCAGCCTCTACCTCCCAGGCTTAAGCGGTCCTCCTGCCTTGGTCTCCTTAGTAGGTGTGACCACAGGCACATGCCATCACCCCTGGCTAATTTTTTAACTTTTCTTGTGTAGAGATGAGATCTTGCTGTGTTACCCAGGCTGGTTTCAAACTCCTGGGCTCAAGCAATTTTCCCACCTCAACTTCCCAAAGAGCTGGGATTGCAGGTGTGAGCCACCATGCCCAGCATCTGACTTATTTCTTAAGTAAACACACTGCCATTTATGTATTTATTTACTTACGTATTTTTATTTTTATTTATTTTTTTTTTTTAGGATGGAGCAATATTTTTAAACACTTTGACAAGGAGGTTTTCCATAAACCTTTCCAGTGGAGAACAGAGAACATGAAAATTGGGCTCCAGATATCAGTAGCTGTGTCTGCTCAGGGCCGAGGCTCCCCCTTGCCCATGTGGTGAGGCGGAGGGGTGTACTTCCCTTCCTTCATCAGTTTTTCCCGTTGCCTCCAGATGGTATCCATACGTCTCATTGTTTTTGTCCGACGTATACACTCTATGAAATCATCATGTTCTATCTTGCACTCTTTCACTGCCCGGGTCATACCGATTCCATGTGCACATTCTATCCATTCTTTTTCAAAAGCATGGCATCGAGCAGGAAACTTGTAGGGCTGTTCGGCACTTTGGATTGTCCACCACTGATCTAGGTTAATGCCGAACCTTTTCTGCACGTCCAAGAAAGGCATGGCTGTAACTATCCGATGCTCATACCCTTGTCCCTCCTCTGGCCTCCGCTTCAGGACGACGACTTTATTTTTATTTTTATTTTGAGTCAGAGTCTTGCTCTGTTGCCCAAGCTGGAGTCCAGTGGTGCGATCTTCGCTCACTGCAACCTCTGCCTTCCGGGTTCAAGCAATTCTCCTGTCTCAGCCTCCTAAGTAGCTGGGGCTACAGGCCTGAACCGCCACACCCAGCTAATTTTTGTATTTTCAGTAGAGACAGGATTTCACCATGTTGGCCAGGCTGGTCTCAAACTCCTGGCCTCAGATTATCCATCCACCTTGGCCTCCCAGAGTACTGGGATTACAGGTGTGAACCACCATGGCTGGCCACTTTCAACCTGCCGTTGAAAGTCTGCAGTAAGAAATAATTTTTCCGTTTAGAAAGCCCCTGCCCTTATGGAGTGTTCAGTCTGTTAGGGGAGATAGACAACACATCAAATAATAATGCGGGAGGTTAGACAATGACCGAGGCTCAGAGAAGGAATAAAGTTGGAAGAGGGGTGGGATGGGTTTCCGACAGGAAGGGAGCTGAGTGAAGACTTGAGAGAAGGGAGGGAGGAAGGGAGAGGGCCAGCTGGCTGAGCATCCCAGGCACCCAGGCAGAGGTGCAAAGTCCTTGAGGCAGGAATTCTTGGTGATCTTCGGGAAAAGAAAGAGGCAAATGTGACTGGTGGGAGACAGTCATGTAGGGCCCTTTGGTCCAACATAAGGACTTCGGCTTCTACTCCAAGAGAAATGGCAAGCCGTGGAAGGGCTCAGATGAGAGAAGTGACATGCTCTGCCAGGATGAATCCTGTGGCTGTGTTAAAAATACATCACAGTTCTGGCCGCACTCACCTGAAGTAGCTCTTAGCCTCTTGAAACTACATTGCTATTGCTATTAAATACCCAGTTTACAAGGGTTCGCCTTAGGATTTCTTGACTTTACAATGGCACAAACACCTTCAATAGAAACTGTGCTTTTAATACCAATAGAGCCTTTCACTTTTTCACTTTCGGTGCAGTATTCAGTAAATGACATGAGATGTGTAACACCTTCTTATAAAATAGGGTTTGTGTTAAATGATGTTGCCCAATTGTGGGATAATGGAAGGACTCTGAGCATGTTTAAGGTAGGCCAGGCTAAGCTATGATGCTCAGTAGGTTAGATACACTAAATGCATTTTCAACATACAATATTTCAACTTATGACAGGTTTATCAGGACATAGCACCCCCCTACCCCCTTAAGTCAAGGAGCATCTGTATTGTAACAGCTGAAGAACTTGACTTCTGCTCAAGTCTAAACCTCGGATAACCATTTTATCTGGGCCCAGATGGACAAGGAGGTGGCCCAAGCCTGGAAACTGAGGCTCAGGAAGACTCCTCACCCTCAAGGTCACCCAGCTCACAGAGTCACTACAGCAACAGCTCTGACACCCCATGACACAGGATTCCCAGATGGTCTTGCTCCTAACAATGTGCTGGAAGGTTCCACCTAGGCTTATTGAATTAATTTGTCTATTTCTAATGATCAGACTCATTTGGAAAACACTGCTTTGATGTATAAGATGTCCCTATCTTAGCACCCTGAATATGTCCATCTCCAAGTATATAAAATTCTCTAAAATATCCTTAAAAGAGAATTCAAATGCACTGGATCACAAATTATAAATGCATTTCAAGTAGCACCTTTAACAGTAGGATAAGGTAGGGGTGGAGTGGGTGTAAACATTCAAATTAAGGTGGGCCTGGGGAAAACGGGCAGGTTACTGCTTATTCCAGCTCTTGCTAATTCCAGACTATTTTCTCAATGGCCTGTGTGTGCACCTCTCACATGATCTGAGCTGTGAGCCCCAGGGCTTCTTTCTAGAATCCAAGGAAAGCAAGTCTGACTGACTTAACCTTTTTTTTTTTTTTTTTGAGACAGGGTCACATTGTCATCCAGGATGGAGGGAAGTGGCACTATCTCGGCTCACGGCAGCCTCAACCTCCCAGGTTCAAGCGATTCTTGTGACTCAGCCTCCTGAGTATCTGGGATTACAAGTATGTGCCACCATGCCTGGCTAATTTTTGTATTTTTAGTATAGATGGGATTTCGCCATCGTCTTAACCTTTTGATGTGCTGGTTGGGTTGACTTAGCGGCACTGAATTGGGATTCCCATCAGCGTGCAATAAAGAGAAATGACCACCAGGGGACAGCAAACATCCAGTAAGCAAAGTCAGTGCCTTTTCAAAAAGTGAACAGAAGAGCTGGGAATCTGTCAGTGGGCGGGGGAAGCACTTACATTCTTGGTAACCATAGCCGAATTGTGTTAGTGACTTTTTTTTTACATACCCAGCTTTCAATCTGCCTAGAATCCCATTGCCTTTGTCTAGAAACTTAATTTTAAGAAAGTACTTACTTGATAAACTAATCAATGAATTAAACCAGTTCTCAACTGGCACTGGGGTTATTTTGCCTCCCAGGGACATTTGGCATATCTAGAAATATTTTAATTGTCACTATTAAGGGTATAGTGCTGGGATTACAGGTGTGAGCCATTGTGCCCAGCCTTGCATTGGCTTTTTCATCCGTACCAGGGATTCAGCCCATGTAACCCCCCAGATTCTGAAGAGCCACTTCTGACTGTTACAAACTTTGAATTTTTGCCAGGAAAGTAAGTTTTCCCAGGCCTGAGAGTGGCAGGCCCCAAGGGTAGGAAATGCCTACCTGCTCACCCAAGGGCGTGTCTCACAGGCCCAGGCAAGAAGGAACGTGGTCATGGGATGATACGTGATATCCAGTCCCCCATCCAGTCCTACCCTCAGCATCTCAGGCCCTGGAGGTCAGGTGAAGACAATCTTCCTTGGTCACAGTGGGTGGCCCTGTGATGCCATAGAGAAAGCCCTCTCATGCCGCCAACACCTTCCCCACCAAAGGGATGTCTGTCCAGACTAAGCTGAGGGAGGAGAATCACTTGAACCTGGAAGGCAGTGGTTGCAGTGAGCCAAGATCACATCACTGCACTCCAGCCTGGGAGACAGAGGGACATTCTATCATTTGCTGGACCAGTAAAAGGTGGGGACTGTGGGGTCATTCTTAGGACTCAAGTAAGTGCCATGGGGTTGGGGTGTGCTCCTGTGATGGGTGTCCTTTGAGACACATTCTACCCCATGTCTCAGAATTCCCGAAGGGAATATCCAATCGGCTGAGGCTCCCTGGAGAATACAATTCTGGCCCTCAGCTTTTTTAGCTGAAACCAGGCCCCTGGCTCTCCCCTCCCACCAAGGCTGTGCCCAATGGAGGCATGGGAATTCCCCTAAAGTAAGTTGGGGGGATGGATGCCAGACAGTCAAACTTAACCAATGCCCATGCCTGCCTGAATGCACCCCAGAGAGTCATTTCTCTGGGTGAAACATTGCCCTGTCTCTCAGAAGGGCCACTGATGCTGACAAACTCCCAGACTGGGAGACTCAAGATCACTGACCTACTGGTATAGGTTCTGGCTTAGCCTTGCTCAGGTTTGGGGGTTAGGCCCACCCCCAGGATGGAAATGATGTATCTGGTAAGCCAAGGTGGCTGGTGACGGGGCACAGGGCTAAGCCCCAGCTTTGTGAGGCTACCTCTGGAATCCTCAGGGGAACAGTCCACCAAGCCCTTCATATCACCCAGGCCTGGGTGACAACACTGGCCTCCCGGCCTTGCCTCTGCTCCCTCCCTTTTGGACTCAAGAATCCCTAAGTCTGTCCAGCAGAGGCAGAGCCTCAGAGGAGGGAGAAGCTCTGATCCCTGAAAAGTAGGCAGCCCTTCCACCCAACCCTAACCTTCCACTCCCGGCATAAAAGATTTGTGGGTTTCTTCAGCAGGTGGAATCTTCCTCCATGGAGGGTGGAGGGGGCCAGAAATGAACTAAGGATGGAAGATGAGGGTGAGGGGAACTAGGGTCAGCCTCGCTGACTTCACAGCTTTGCCCAGGGCAGGAGGTGAATGTGGTCCTTCGCCCATCCAGGGGTGGCCCCAGGGATCACCCTGAAAAAGTGGCTCTTCCAGCACTGTTCACAATAGCAAAGACATGGAATCAACCTAAATGCCCATCAGTGACAGACTGGACAAAGAAAATGTGGTCCAGATACACCATGGAATATTATGCAGCCATAAAAAAGAACAAGATCATGCCTTTTGCAGGAGCATGAATGGAGCTGGAGGCTGCCATCCTTAGCAAACTAACACAGGACAGAAAACCAAATACTGCATGTTCTCACTTATAAGTGGGAGCTAAATGATAAGAACTTATGAACACAAAGAAGGCAGTGACAGATGCTCAGGTCTGCTTGAGGGTGGGGTGGGAGAAGGCAGAAAGGCAGAAAATGTAACTATCGATCACTGCCTTGCATTTCCTCGACCGTGGCTGTAATCTGGTCTCCAGGTGATGAAATAATATTTACAGCAAACACCCATGGCACATGTTTATCTATGTAACAGACATTCACGTGTAGCCCTCAAACCTAAAATTAAAAAAAGGAAAGAAACCAGGAAGGAAGGGAAAAGAAAGATGGCTTAGTAGGTATTGTAGTGCCGCAATGGAGCCAGGTAAGCGTCCCATGGGACATACAGGTGTGTGATTCAGATTCTCTCCCCACCTCCACTCCTCACGGGGCTCTGAGCAGACTTGCTCAGCCACACCTGCAGACAGGCATTCTGAGAGCCCTCAAATGCCTGCACTGTCTCCACCCCCACCCCGACTCCTGCTTCTACCATACATGGCTTCCACCATCACCCCTGACCCCCTCCAATCCCATAAACTGAATTCGTCTTTAGATTAGTTCAAGTCTCCCAGGGTGTAAGGAAAAGACACACATAGTCTTTAGTGATGGGACACAGCCTATTTGAGGGTGTGCTGGGTATTTTCTAGATTCACTCTCCACCCTCCTCCCGCCATCCAGAGAGAGGGTGGCAGCGGTAGGGACAGCATCTGTTTGGGTTCAGCCAATGAGCACATTGGCAGGAGATGGGTGAGGAGAAGAGGATGTCACAGAATGGAGAGGAGGTCATTGAATGGACTC